CAGTCTATGTTAGCAAAGTTTTCGGCTAGCCAGTCCATTCCTAGTATGACATCAAAATTTGTCATATCCACTACTTTTAAGTCTACATGGATGGTTTGTTCAGCTATTACCACTTGTCCGTCTTTTACTCTATTTTTCGTAACTAGGTCTACCTCTGCTAGGGTACCGACTGACAATACATGCATTAAGGGTTCTAACTAAGCTTATGATTTACTTATAACATTCCCTACATTCTACCATATAATTCAGATAAACAAAACATAAATATCGTAGCGTAAAGACATGCATTACATCAGATCACATCACAACACATTTTCATACAGTATCATGTCATTCAACATTTAAAGCCAACCACATTAAATATATCACAAAGATCATACATCCATCATTCTACATAGGGTATACTTGGCAACGAAGGGGCATCGGTAATTGGACCGTGGAACATGCCAAGCCTACTCTATAGGCTAGTCTACAAGATCTTAACCTAGACCCTAAAATTTTACCTATTTTATTCTAAGGTCATTACTATACCTTGAAATGCGAAATATACATTAAATGGACCCTGTTCATAAATGCGACTTACACTCGCCTTTTATTACCTCGTGAAAGAGAAAAGATTACAAGGGAAAAAGAAACGAATATTATTGAAATAAAGGAAAAGGAACCAAAACCGAAATGAATGATTTAATCCTACCCTAAGGTTTATTATGCAAATACAACTCAACCTATACTAACCTATACTAGTGATGCAAAATGAATTCAACTAGACTTTGAAATGAAAAAAAAAAAAAAAAAAAAAACTACCCTATGCATGTGCCACGGTCTCAGGGTGTACGATGTCGCCGTCGTTGTCACATGGGTGCCTTGCCCTTATCTGCAAAAGTAAAGTAGCACGAGGCTGGAGTATTTCTAGAATACTCAGTAAGTGACCCCCTATCGGGGTTATGCAACAATCACATGCAATGAAATGATGGGACCTTATCGTTTAGTTTCGTTTTCCTTATGGTGCAATTCTAACGGGTAATCGTGGACGTGTACCATATACTCTACACACAGTCCATACGTGCGAGTATGGGCTCACCAGCTAGTTCACATACCGCTGGGCCACTGTCCTTATCCGGTGGGCATACTCTGGGAGCCCCTTATGCCGGGACCCGTTAAAACTAGAATCGTCACGGCAGCGCTATGCAAAGCATAACGATCGTTGTTTTTCCATTGGATGTCCGCGTCCGTACCCGCGTGATGGGATAGGGGTATCCCCTCAAATGCATGAACACACAATATGCATGAGGTCCCAACTAGTCCTACATTTATCATTAATGAACATAGCCCCCTGTCACGTTTCATGCTTACATGTCATTCTCATTTTCATTTCTTTACATATCATACATATTCCTAACGGGGTTATGTTGCCATGCAGTTTACCGTATTTCATGTCATACAATTCATGCTGTTTACATTCAAATATTTCATACAAACATGCCATAATCATTCAAGGACCACATATCGTCACATGCATAACATATCACATCAAATTAAGCAGCATACATAGCATACATTCACGTTCACATGATTTCGTACTTAAGCACATCAAACTAACATACAATTTAATGACACGTGCAAATCCACGGGCACGTGCCAACATACAGCAAATAACGCGTAACCTAGACGGGTGAGCCACTTACTTGGTAGGCCTTAGCCGAAGTACTCCCTAGAATATAACGTAAGCTCCTAGCTCCTCGTGATCGTTCTACACTTTCGTTGGTAGTTGATTCCTATTGGTTCATTCGTCACTTTCATTAGTATTTCACAAATATAATTAATTCCCAACTTGAATTTGTGAAATACGACCTTAAAATATTCTATTTTACCTTAAACAGGGCCAAAACTAGGTTCGGGAGGGTCGGAACGGTGCCAAACGGGCTGCAAATAGGTTTCTCGAGCTGAATAAGCCGCCGGGCTGCTAATTTAGTTTACAATATTTTAAATTAACCAGACAGTGATCATACTAAAATGCTTCAAATAACGTCAAAAATGGTTTTGGACCAATCCAAAATGGTACGATAGAGAGACAAGGTCAAATCTAGGCATGGATCGGGTTGTGGGTTGGGTCATTAGACCAGGTTGACACGGGTCTAGAAGTTGGGTCATTGACTGTCGATTGAGCCATGGGCATGCTACTTGGTCAAAGTCCCATTTGGGCTTGGACTGCATAGATCGTTGGTTGTCAGGCAGTTGCAATGTTGGGTGGAGTAGTTTGGGTCGTGGCATCACTGATGTGGGCTAGACACTCAAAGGTGGTGCAGGTTCGGAAAGCTGGGCTATGGGAACTCCAAATTGGTGTAAATATGGTAGAGAGAGGGAGATGGAGAAGTGAGGAGAGGAATGAGTTGGAACGATGAGAAAGTGAGGGTTCGGAAGACTACTTATAAGGAAAATGAGATTCGGTGAGATTATCAAATTTTTAAGATACCTATTTTGGATGAGCCGAGCTAATAGTATGAACTAAATGAGTTCTACATTATGAACTATGTAACACGCATATCACTTAGATGTACAGAGTATCGAATTCTATTTGTGATATATCGGAGATGAATCTTGGCCATTCCCGCCTTTCAACTCTCCTAGACTAGAATTGAGAAATAGTTTCTAGCCATTTTTGGTCTTCGTGCCATTCTAGGATTCCATTTCTTACTACCCTCGGATTCATAAATACTGAGAATTCACTTCTTAGAAAGCAAGTTATGAACAGAAATATTAGTTCACTCCATAACTCATTTAAGTCGTTTGTGAGATCACGTGGAAACAACTTTGATGAACTATCCATGAAGCTTGTTGAGTTTATTACATGCATGAGAACTACGCCTTAGTAACTTCATGACTTACCAGAAGGTTAACTGAACTCTAAAACTTAGGTCTAAACTTTTTAGAGCTTAGAACTAAGCCTATGGTAGGTAATTAGGTTTGAGATGCGATTATGAGCTTACAAGTAGGTTATTTGCTGATTATTTTTATACTTACCTTAGTTATTACTTTTTCTAGCAAGTAGCCAATTCAGATGAAGAGTGGTCGGGAGCTGCTTGACCATACTAGCAACATAGGTGGCAACCATGATGAATGTGTTAAAGACAATATCTGTAAATGGTTCGAGTCCAATAAATCATGTATCAATATGCTTTGTAGGGCAAATTCGGAATGGACAAGATCAAAATAATCTATACTCGAATATGTTATGGATGGAGGGGGTGGTTTACAACTTATAAACACTTCTAGTTAAACTACTAATTCAATTCTTATTGTCAGGTAGAATCATAATAATCACAATTGAGAATAATTAGGAAGGTCGGAGATTTACTCTATATAGTACAAAAGAATTGCCTTGCATGATTCTAGTAATAACAGTAAGAACAATAATCCGGAACACTTGTTTGTCCCTAAGCCTCTCCTTAAATGCTTAACTCCCTCGACCTACTCCTAAAATTCATTAGTGATTTCGGTTTAGGCCAATTAAGTAAGTAGACTTACTATTGGAACGCCTTCAAGCTTAGTTGGATGACTTGAAGTATGAACGATATGTGATGTGTGGCCTACTTACGTGTCGTCTTCTAATACTATGATTATTTGAGGCATGTATTTCCAATATATTATGCCATGTATGTCATGATATCATATTCGCATCATGCCTATGAGACATTGACGAGTCAGGTACGATATTGATGAAAGATATGTCATGTACGCGTGTGCATGTCTTATAGGAGAGTTTTGTTATGAAAATCTGAAAATGATGGATTGGTTTAGGAAGACATTTTTGTCAGCTGGAGAAGATCGAGACCATACAGCGGTGAATGTGAATGGACCCACTGAAAAGGATATTTTGGGTGTGAGAAAGTTTCATATCCTTGAGCCGAGGTGAATTCCCGATTAGAGGTTAATTGGTGAACCCCGAAATCATCCCTGTATAGACGTTGTATAATTAAATCATCGTATCTTATGATACAATCAAGTACCTCAAAGCAAAGTATAATAATTTGAATAACCCATCCTTACTATAATTCAAATTTTCTATCATTCTTAGTCTATTCAATTGACCTTTCAAGAACTACATAGTTTTGCTCAATCATAGTATCGCTTGGTCCTAAACTATCCATTAACAACTCAAATCACTTATTATTCAATTTCAATCAATATGAGTCCAATTCATCATAAAAATATCTATTCATAGCTTAAGAGCCCAAATTGGATGAAAAATCAACTTAAAATAACTCAAATTAGACCAAAATACTCAAACATATGCACATGTTTTTAAGATTTTGACTTCGTTTTCATTGCATTTATGGGCTTGTTCTCATCTGAATCAACCATCAAATCCATTTGTAGACCTTTTCAAGGAAGTTCTTTAGTACAAGAATCATACAAAGCTATCAACTCCTAAAAGATAAACAAGGAGAGAAGTTGTGTGGTACCCTTTGTACTTTCCCCTTTTCGCTTCTAAATTTAAGTTTTTTTGGCATACTCTTGTTCAAATTAGCCATCAACTTATGAAGATTTTGTTCACGAATCTCTTAGAATCATGAATATTTTTGGTATATTCTCCATTCAAATGAATCTAGATTCATTTGGTTCATCTTCCTATTGCTACATTCTTTCCTATTGGTACATGAATCATCTGAATTCATATTTGAGTATTAGTGTTGTCTTAATTCTTGTCTAAGAATTAGTATTATTATGCTATATAAAGAGATGTGAAGTCAGTCATTTTGAATTTTTCTAAAAGATAAAGTTGTAAGAGAGACTTTGTAGTGTGAGAATCTGAAAGATACAATGTAAACACTTTGATTATAACGATTGACTAACACATGTGGATGTATGAGCTTTTCTCCGAACCACGTAAATTTTTATGTCTGTTTGCTTAGTTTCTGTTTGAGAGTATCCAAAACTCCAAAAATGAGCTCGAAAATTTGAATGAAGCTTTGATCATTCATCAATTTTGAAGGTGAAGGACCCACATGAATGAATTCCCTATAGAACACACAAATACACTCATAGCCTAAAACAAACCAAAATGTCGTCTTCCCCTAAAATTCCAACCTCAACGCTCCGTCTTCCATGGAAGCACCGTCTAATGCTTCGTCTCGGTACTATAGCCACCAACACCTTTTGCCGATCCGATTTCACCATCAACCGTTGGCTCACCGGAATCCTTGACCGGAGAACCCCCCCCTCTTCCAAACCAATAGACGGCGTCTCCTCTTCCGATCTCCTCATCGACAAATCCCGCAACCTCTGGGTTCGAATCTTCACCCCCATCGACGATGTTCAATCCCTGCCGGTGATTTTCTATTACCATGGCGGCGGCTTCGCTTTCTCTTACGCTGATTCATCTCTTTACCACACCACCGCTCACCAATTTGCCAAACAACTACGCGCCGTCGTGATCTCCGTTAACTACCGCCTCGCTCCGGAGTTCCGATTCCCGTGCCAATACGACGACGGATTCGACGCATTGAAATTCATAGACGAAATCGATGATGGGACATTACCGGCGAGCGCAGATTTGGGGCGTAGCTTCATTTTGGGGGAAAGCGCCGGGGGGAATCTGGGGCACCACGTGGCAGTGAGAGCGAGCGAGTACGCTTTCAAGAAACTGAAATTAATTGGGTTTATAGCGACGCAGCCGTTTATCGGGGCAGAGGAAAGAACAGAGTCGGAGATTCGGCTATGCAATCAGCCGCCGTTGAGTCTGAAACTTACGGATTGGTTTTGGAAGGCGTTTTTGCCAGTTGGGTCAGACCGAGACCACGCGGCGGCGAATGTTTTCGGGCCGAACGGAAGGGATATTTCGGGAGTGGAGAAGTTTCCGGCGACGGTGGTGTTAGTGGGAGGGTTTGATTTGCTGCAGGATGGGCAGAGGAGGTATTATGAGGGGCTGAAGAGAATGGGAAAGGAAGTGAAGATGGTGGAGCTTCCAAACGCCATTCATGGCTTCTTTTGCTTCCCCGATCTGCCGGAATATTCCTCCATGATTCAGGCGGTGAGGGATTTCATCGCCGCCCAATGGCAAAACTGTAAAAAGAAAGGACTCGTAGTTTAATAAATTTCATGTGTCGTCGCATTACTGTCAGTGCACGTTATCCCTATTTTATTTTATTTTTTATTATTATTACTTTCTCTTTGTTCTATAATATTGGTGGATCCTCTCAATTATATCTCCATTTAATTTTTTTTTCAGTATTTAATTAACATATTAAGATCTTAAAAGTTATTGTATCACGAAAATTATTAACAATTATTATGTTTACAAAATTTAACGTTATTTATTACATGAAAAGTATTATTGACAATCTTGCATATAATGCAAGATAAACGTGGAGTTCTTAGTTGTTACCTTTTTATTTGTATATTTTTTATTTCATGATTATTTTCATGAAATAATCAAAGTTGTATATCTATTATTTTTTATTTTATGGTTTTTCTTGATGAATTAGATCTGAAATTAGATTAAAATGTTTTAGGAAGTCGTTTTTGTACTCCTTTTGTGAAGAAATTCAGAGGTGAAACTCATTAAAAATCGAAGTTCCAATTGAACTTCAAAAATGGTGAGTTATGAATTTTTAGCGAACTTTGAACGCATTTATTTCTCTCCATAGTCGTCAATGAAATAAAATAAAATCTATTTTTGTTGGAAATCTAGATTAAAGCTTTAGTTTTGGTGAACCAATTGAGTTAAATTGAATTACATCTAAAAAGATACAAACATTGGAAGAAACTAGGAAACACATAAAATAGTGAAATATTTGGGAAATAATTCATGAAACTCAAAAAAGCACGTGAAACGCATAGATAGGGTAGGAACGAATGCGTCAGGCGAAGTCGTGGGTATGTGTTAGGTGGGTGGTGGGTGGGGGGTGGGGGGATGTACGCATCGGGTACTAGCGACGACTGTGTCGACATACCAAAATTGTGAGGAATTATGTTCGCAAGGATTCGAATGCACGCAACAAGGGTTTGAGGAGCAAACAAGCGAATGGTACGTGTTGTCAAGGTCATGCTTGTCTAGGGTGTGTTGCTCATGGGTGCATCTCATGCCACATCGAACTTTTTTTTTTTTTTTAATTTCATGTTGTATTGTCTTACTATTGTATTTTTTGTTTGTAAGTCTTCTTAGCGAATTCATTTCTAGGTATGCTAGACCTAAATCGCCTCAAAATGAACTATAGGGGGGTGTGACTAGTTGTCAACTCATCTCCCTGATTTTGTATGAGCGTTCAGTGAAATCACGTTTAGGCCTGCCAGACGGGAATCACCTCAAAATATACTATAGGAGGATGTGACTGGTTGTCAAATTCTTCTTACCCGGAAAGTTATATGTTATTTAAGCCATTGTGTTGTCTTTTACTTATAGTTATATAACATTGTTTTCAAATTTGGCTTGACTCGCTTGGTGTTGGAAGTGAGTGTTGCACAATTGCAAAGTTCGGTGCCAAGAAAAGTGTGATTGTGACAAGTTGTATTAGAGCTTTGTTAGTTTCTTGACGCATTGAGACCGAAACAATGTCAACGAAAAAATCAACACCCAAATCACAAGCCGACTGACTTACCTTGATAGAGGAAAAAATGTTGTTCCTCAAAGAAGTCCCTAATACTGCTCGCTTCCTAGAACGATGAGTGACAAAATTGAATGAAAAAGTCGAGAGAATCAATACAATGGGCAATCACCTAGATGGGTGTCGATAAAAGAACTGATGTTTAGGGTGGTCATGCTAGAAGAAAGAGTCACCCAAAAAAGTAGCTCAAGATCTGTTGGTAGCCCTGAAAACTCTGTCGCACACAAGGAAGGACGTGACAAAGAGCTTGACAAGTTATAAAAGACCATGATGAAGTTGTTCAATGAATTAACTGATGAATTCAAAACAACGATTGATTTCATCAAGGGAGAGATAACTGTATGAACACCCGAATGAGTATGACAATGTGGGTCGTGGAGAATCTCACCCCAGGGCAAACTTATGCAAGACTTAACAAATTGAAGTTCCTGGATCCAAGAGCCTTTAAAAGGAATCGAGATGCCAAAGAATTGGAAACTTTATCTTTGACGTAGAATAGTACTTCAAAGCTAAAAGAGTCTGCATCGAAGATATAAAAGTTACGGTAGCCACAATACATCTTGTAGACAATGCAAAACTTTGGTGGTATTCGAAACTGAACGATATTCAAAATGGGTTATGCACCATCGACTCATGTGAAGACCTCAAGAAAGAGTTGTAGACTCAATTATTTTCCGAAAATGTTAAATTCATATAAAAAAGAAAACTGCGAGAACTGAGACAGACTGAAGGCATAAGGGACTACGTTAAATAGTTCTCAACTTTGATGCTAGATATCGGGGATATGTCGAAAAAAGACAAAATATTCTACTTTATAGACGGATTGCAACCATGGGCCAATACAAAAAAAAAAAAATATGAACAAAAGGTTGAATACTTAGCCACGACAATCGTTGGTGCAAAAAGACTCCTAGACTTTGGGCAGAAACTAGTTTCCAAAGAAAGAATAAACAAACCCAGCGCCAGGAACAAATCATATAAGCCACTGAGTCAGTGGAATGAAGGTCCCACGGACCAAATGGAGGCAATGACCGATCAAATGGGGGAATGGATAGACCTCCTCAGAATACTAATGTTGGACCATCTTGAAGAGCCTATCCTCAAAAGAACTATTCAACAACACCATTACAGTATCTGTTGTGTAAAGACCCCTACAAATAGCCCTAATGCTTTCATCGGGTGTCCCTCAGTGCACTCCAAGTGTCTATACAAGAGAGCAAAGACACGAGGGTCGAGCTAGCAATAGAAAAAAGGAAAGACCAAGACAACCTGAGAATGGGTGCGCTTAAGTTCCTGTTAGCCATTCAAAGGAAGGTTGACCCGAAGAAAGTAATGGAGAAGGAGTTGATGTTCATAGATGCGACAATAACTCCGGACCAAGCAAGAGCACATTGATAGACTCAGGCGCGACTCATAATTTCATTGTTGACCAAGAAGTTCGAAGATTGGGACTCACCATAGAGAAGGACACTGGAAAAATGAAAGTTGTTAATTCTGAAGCCCTACCAGAGTTTCTAAAAGAGTCCCTTGAAATTAGAGGCTTAGTTAGGACAAATGGATCTTGTCATTGTTCACATGGATGACTTCGAATGGACTTCGAATGGACAAATGGTACTTGGAATGGACTTCCTTCTGTAACACAAAGTCATCCCAATTTCATTGTCGAAATGCCTAGTGATTATCAATCGCAATCCCATAGTAATCCCTACAAGCATCAAACAACCAGATAATCTTAGAATCATCTATGCTATGCAATTGAAATGAGGGCTCACACGAGAGGAGTCCACATTTATGGTTATACCTTTGATGGAAGATGTGACCACTGCCGAAACTATTCTGAGTGAAGTTAGGGATGTCGTAGATAGTTATGCTGACATAATGCCAGAGAGCTTGCCACAAAAAATACCACCTTATCAGGGGTATTGATCACGAAATTAAACTCCCTAGGGTTAACCCTCTAGTGAAGAATGCATATTAGATGGCTCCCCCAAAGCTAGCAAAACTGAGGAAGCAACTAGATGAGTTGTTGGCTGCAGGATTCATCTTCCCCGCAAAGGCACCCTCTGTTTCCCCCCGTACTATTTTAAAAGAAGAAGGATGGGTCATTACGTCTGTGTATAGACGATAGAGCTTAAAACAAGGCGATTGTACGTAACAAGTACCCCGTACTGATAATATCTGACCTGTTTAACTAGCTTCACAGGGCCAAATACTTCGCAAAGTTGGACTTACGATCAAGTACTATAAAAGTATGCATTGCTGAGGGAGATGGGCCAAAGACCACGTGCGTAACAAGATATGAGGTCTTTAAATTTTTAGTAATGCCCTTCGACCTGATGAACGCCCCAACTACATTTTGTGCGTTGATAAACTAGGGTTTCCACGAGTATCTGGATTAATTCGTCGTTGTATACCTCGATGACATAGTTGTATAGAGCGCAACACTAGAAGAACACAAGATGCATCTGAAGCTAGTGTGTGTCAAGCTACGACAGAATCAGTTATATGTCAAGAAAGAAAAATGTGTCTTTACATAAACATGCATAAACTTCCTTGAACATGTCATGATGTAGACAAATCAGCATGGATAACGATAAGATAAAAGCTATCCAAGATTGAAAAACTCCCACTTTAGTATTCGATATACGATCCTTCTTGGATTGACAAACTACTATAAGGGATCTTTGAAGGGTTTTCACGAAGAGCCACCCCATTAACAAAACTCCTAAAGAAAGACCACCTTTGGTTGGGGTAAAATGAATGTGAAAAGGCCTTTGAAGATTTGAAGACAACCATGACCAGAGGCCCTGTCCTTGGCTTGGTAGACATTTCGGAGCCCTTTGAAATAGAGATAGATGCATCTGACTTTGCTATTGGCGGTGTCCTTATCCAATAAGTCCACCCCATCACCTATGAAAGTTGGAAGCTCAATGATGCAGAAAGAAGGTACACGGCCTCCAAAAAGGAAATACTCGCCATCATCGATTGCCTTAGAGTCTGGAGACAATATCTTTTGGGATCGCGCTGTTGGGATATGGAGCTTGAGAACTATTTATAATAAAAAAAAAATATGTTAGATATTTTATGGGTGGTTAAATCTTTTAAAGCTATATTTAGTAAATTGAAACCATATATATATCTATGTACTTTCTCCATTCTCTATTGTTATACGAAGTTATCAATATAACCTTTAGCCAATATTTCTCTCTGCACTTTATCTCCCCTATTTCTTTGTGTTCATCTTGATCGAGCGTATGCGTTGTTGTGCGATCCTAACAACTAGTATTAGAGCTAGGCGAAATTCACCACGATCTATGAAGATGTAAAGTTCAAATATTGCAATTGAGAAGTTCGATGAATCCAATTTTAGTTTCTAGAAGATGCAAATTGAAGATTATCCGTACCAGAAAGATCTTTACGACCCTATTGGTGGTGAAGCCAGATACCATGACTAGGAGTAGTGGAATCTCAAGGATCGTCAGACCTTAGGGTTGATCAGTTGACGTTGTCCAGAAACGTGTCGTTCAACATCATCATGGAGAAGACGACATCAAACATATTGAAGGCATTTTCAAATATGTACGAAAAACCGTCAGCTATGAACAA